ACACACACACACACACACACACACAGTCACAGAAAAACACACACACACATACACACACACAGAGTCAGAGAGAGACACACACACAGACACACATACTCACACACACCCACAGAGTCACAGAGACACAAGCACACACACGCACAGTCACAGAGAAACAAAGATGCACACAAACACACACACAGTCACAGAGAGACACACACACATTCTAACAGGCAGTGACAGACATGTACACAGTCAGATTGTCAGAGAGAAACACACACACATGTACAGTCACAGAGAAATACAGACATACACAAACACATATACAGTCACAGAGAGACACACAAATATTCTGGCAAACAGTGACGCACACACAAACAGTGACACACACATACGCACACACAAACAGAGTCACAGAGATATACACACATTCCAACAGAGACTCTCACTGGGTGACTGTGTGAAATTTGCATGTTCTCCTTGTATCTGTGTGGGTTTCCTCCCACAGTCGAAAGATGTGCAGGTTAGGGTGGATTGGCCATGCTAAATCGCCCATAGTGTGTGCAAGCTCGGTGGATTAGTCTGTCTTGGATGCTCTTTGGAGGGTTGGCGCAATCTCAATGGGCTGAATGGCCTCTCTCTGCTCTGCAGGGATTCTATGATTGTTGACTGTCATTCTGTTCGCCAACATCCTCGAAGGAAGTCCTTATCTCAGTCTGGGCCTACAGTTGACAGAGTGATGGGCGTGTGGAATGAGCTATTGGCAGTGGTAGTGGAGTCAGATACTTTAGGGACATTTAAGCGACTCTTGGATAGGCACATGGAGGATAGTAAAGTGTAGGGTATGCAAGGCAGATTGATGTTAGTAGGATAATAGGTCAGCACGACATTGTGGGCCGAAGGGCCTGTACTGTGCTGTATTGTTCCACGTTTCTATGTGACTCCAGGCACACAGCAATATGGTTGACCCTTAACTGCCCTGTGGGCAAGAAATGCTGACCGAACCAGAAATTCACTGAAATATAAAAAAATCACTTTTAAAAATTGGAATGATATTTTCTGCAGCATAGCTGCCCATTTCCATAAACCCACCTGCTCTTTTGGTTCTGTCTTCAAAGCTGCTATTGATTTCCGTTTCCACCACCATATCGGGAGGTGCATTCCAAAATCTGAACCTTCATCAATTTACCCTGCCATCATCCTTTATCACAACTAGCTGATCCCTCTGCCCTCTCGTTATTGATGCATCAACCATTGGAAACACTTTGTTGTCAATCTAATTTCATGCTGAGGAGAACGTCACCAGTTTTTCCCATTGCCTCCTAATCCCTATGACTATTCCCATCAATCGCTCCCAACATGCTCTCCAAAACCTGTTGCATTTTGACTCTGGGACAATTGCTAACAAGCTCATTCCCATCCTTATCGGTAACTTTATTCGCAAGGAAGGTTGCGCACCGTGGTTACCAATGCTCTATCCAAAGAGGCTTGAAGAACATCGTCAACTTATCCTTTAGCCTAAAATAGTATTGACCCTGCTGGACTTTTTCAAAATGGCTGCTGAAGATCATGACTTACAAGTTGGCCAAAGTTCTGGAAGCTGCCAAAAGGATAAGGTGGATGTCTTTATTCATAGGATGTGGGCATCATGATCTAACACAGCTTTTTATTTCCCATCTGTAATTACCCAGGGCGTAGTGAATAGTCAGTCTCATTGGTGGGGTCTAGACTCACAAGACTGTGAACAGTCTTGGTCGCTTTATTTAAGGAATGATTTCTATGGAGGTAGTTCAGAAAGTTGATGAAGATAATCCCTGGTGAGGAAAGGGTTATCTTATTAGCTAAGGTTAAGGAGGTTGGGACTCTACTCACTGGAATTTAGAAGAATGGGAGGTGCTGACATTGAGACATATAGGCTTACAAAGGGGCTTGACAGAGTAAATGCTGAGAGGATGTTTCTCCTCATGGGAGAGCCCAGGATCAGAGGGTCACCGATTTAGAACTGAGATGAGTAGGAATTTCTTCTCTCAGAGGGCTGTGAGTCTTTGCCACAGAGAGCTGTGGGGGTGGGGGGAGGGTGCAGAGTCCTTGTGTATACTTAAAGCTGAGACTGATCGATCCCAGATCAGTCGGGGAATCAAAGGTGTAGTGATTGGGACCAGGTGGATCTTGTTGACCACGAGATCCCCAATTGCGGTTGTTCACCTGAGCCAATCAGGAAGCCCTGGCTGACCAAAATAAACTGGGGATTCAGAATCTCAGAGTGACAGACTCCGAGCTGGATGGCTACAGCCAGTGAACTGTGCACAAGTAAACAAAGGGTGACTTGGTGATGAGATACTGGCCTCTGTGCAGTTAGTTCAAAATGTTATGCAGAAAGGGCAGGAAAGTAGCTGCGAGGAATGTTGGACCAGCCATGATCCTTTTGAATAGCCGAGCTGCCTCAAAGGGCTGAATGACCTCGTCCTGTTCCTATTCCCTATGGTCTGACGGTCTCAATTGCTGTGGATAAAACTGCCACATTGTTTCTTATGTTTTAATGGCAACAGCTCTTCGAACCACAAACATTATTGTGCGTCGGGTGTCCTCAGACATCCTGATATTACGAGGGAAGTCTGGAATGTTCACATCTTTCCTTTTTATTACATTACATCTTTGGTTACAAAGTGTGGACACATAGCAGATAAGCAAACACTAGTTTGAATTTGTCATTCTCATGCCAGGAGCAAGGATGCCTTGCTGCAATTGTACAGGGGCCTTGGTGAGACCACCCCTGGAGTACTGAGTCTGCAGTTTGGGGGTCTCCTTATCTGAGGAAGGAGGCTCTGGCGATGGAGGGAGTGCAGCGAAGGTTTCTTAGTCTGATTCCTGGGACGATAGGACTGATGGATGAAGACAGACCGGATTGGTTAGGAATATAATCACTGGTGTTTAGAAGAATGAGGGGCGATCTCATAGAAATGTACAAAATTCTAACAGGACAAATGCAGGAAGGATGTTTCTAATGACCAGAGAGTCCAGAACCAGGGGGTCACAGGTGAAGGATCCAAGGAATGTGGGGAGTGAGATTAGGAGAAATGTCTTCACCCCAGATAGTGGGGAGCCTGTGGAATTTTCAACTACAAAAACAGTTGAGGCCAAAATATTGAATGTTTTCTTAGGTCTAAAGGGATAGAACTGTGTTGGTAAAAAGCAAGAACAGGGACTGAGTTGGATGACCAGTCACACTGAACAGCAGAGCAGGCTTGAAGGGCCGAATGACCTGGTCCCACTCTTGCTTTCTGTTTCTATAAAAGGACTCATGGACCATCAGTAAACAAGGAGCAACAATGTGTTTCACCCTCCGAAGGCCATTTCCTCTACCGCCCAGTGAAAATTGTCTTCTCACATCGTTTTCAAGGAGCAGAGTGACCGATCGTCCTCTCAAAGATGAATCCTTCTTCAACGAAACCAAGCGATCACAGCGAGAGAGAGAGACTGTCCACACAGAATCACCAACAATGCACAGGTCCACAGAAATAGAATCTCAAGAAATCCAGGATCTTCCCTGAATACATCACAAGGGACCAGAGTCTAGATTTGGAGGAAGCAAAGGAGGAAGTCAGACAACAAAACAGCTTGGACTAATATCATCTCGTGAGATGGAAACTTGCAAAAGCATTTCACACCATCATGGCAATGCAAAGTTAGACACCAGGGCACACAGGAAGTTACACGATTCTCCCAAATTCTTGATCAATGTAGTCCCTATTTTACTGAAAGCCTTACACATTTACAGCAATGAAGATCAGCAGGCACGGGAGCGATAAGGCCATAAGACACTTGAGCAGAAATTAGGCTATTCGGCCCATCATGGATGATACATTTCTCAACCCCATTCTCCCACCTCCTCCCCATAACCTTTGATCCCCTTGACAATCAAGAACCTATCTATCTCTGGCTTAAAGATACTCAATGACCTGGCCTCCACAAGCCTTCTGTGGCAATTAATTCCATAGATTCACTACTCTCCTCCTCTCCATTCTAAAGAGTCTCCCTGTTACGCGAAAGCTGTGCCCTTGGGTCCTGGTCTCTCCTGCCAATGGAAACATCTTCCCAACAGCCAGTCTATCCAGGCCATTCAGTACTCTGTAAGTTTCAATTAGATCCCCCCTCATCCTTCTAAACTCCATTAAGTATAGTCCCAGTGCCCTCAAACATTCTCCATATGTTAAGCCTTTCATCCCTGGGATCATTCTCATGGACCTCCTCTGGACCCGGCAAGGACACCGAGAATTAACTGGATATGAGCTTACAAAGGGATCACTGCAATCCAGGGAAAAGTATCCTCTCCTGTATAGACTACTGAGTCAGAGGTGGAAAGATCTTTTCATGACAGAGCTATCACACTGACCTTGTTTCTTTCTGCAGTGAAAATAACATATCAGCAACAGTATCAGAACTCCAATGATGACTCCAAAAGTTACTGCGATCACCCACCCTACAGCACCAATTAGAAACAATGAATGAATAACAAGGGAAATGAGAGAAGGGTTGTTCATGTGACAATACTAAAGCGGTGTCAAGGAAACCAGGGACTGAGGATTAATGCTGCAACTCCAGTATGGAAATGCATTCAGCCTCCAGTTGGTTATATATGAACAGGAGGAGGCCACTGAGCCCCCTCTTCAAGCCTGTAACACAGGAACAGGAAGAGGCCATTCAGTCCCCACTTTGAGCCTGTTA